GAGAGTACAACTTGTTAACCTCAATGCATAAATGGCTTTAGTGGCATTTTCTTCGTTTGTAATTATATGAATCATTTATTTTAAAAACAGCTTTTATAGATTAGCTATCCTATCGGTATTAGAAGAGTGCCAGATAGATAAGAAATCTAATTAGTTGCAAACAGAATATAAAATGAATATGCCACCCTTTCAGGTGGGTTGATATAAAAATTTGAAGAGAAAAAAAAAAGATAAAATGAAATATGTGTACACAGATATAATCGCTATTGACCTTGATTTGATTAAAATTGTATACACGAAGAAAGACGTAAATTAAAATAAATAATGAGCAGCAGCAACGAGATATTTAAATTTTCAAAAGCACTGTAAAATAAAAGTTCGCCTATCTATGATATATTTGAGTGAAATTCGAAAATCCAAAACAACAACTGGATACCGGGAAAAAGATATTCATTGAAAGTGATGCGCGTCGCACAAGTAAGCTTAACGAATTCTCTCACATACAATGTGCCTTATATTGACGAGTTTTCGATATTATTCTGCAAATAGATTTAAATGAACGAAAAGAAATGTAGAATTGTTGAGATATGTATTGACGTAGTTTCTATTGAACGAAGAACGAAAACGTACCTGAAATCCTTTCTAAAGATAACTAAAAGACTTTCATTTCTCTTCAAACCACGCTCAAGAGAATAGAAACGAAAAGAAAGAAAAACTGATATTTTTGCCTTCTTACGGCCGTCGAACCCTCCAATAAAGGCGTAAAAATCGCATATTCTTTCATCAGTTATGCGACTCTGATGACTATTCCGCGAAGCATACTTTAAAGAAAAGTCCACTTCTTGATTAAACCGCTAGTAGAATACGAGATGCCTGTGCGGAATATAAACAATAGAAAAATTTTAGTCTCTCATACACCTCTTCTTTTCGAAACCCGACAAAATATGCCTAATTTTTTGGTCAGTGTAAAATTCTCGATTTATAATGTCTGCCTATATGTCTACTGAAACTATAATGGCGCTCACAAAGCTTCTCATGTATAGACTAAATTGGCATAAATGCTGCCGTGAGCGCCTAAACAAGTTTGACAAAGAAAATAAGCAGACAAGAAACAAGGGGTTCACAATGGCTGAAAGACTAAAAATATTTCGAAAAAAAAAAAAATCAATTTTTCGATTAAATATATGTTTTTGCCGTTTACTCTCGAACTTGCGTGTCAGTAATTCGATCGTATTGTGCACTGTGGAACACTTTAGCCCAAATTGTTAGAATAACAAGCGCAAGGGATTCAACTCATGCAATATATCCGAAAAATTAACGAATTTATTGCTAGTCGTTTGAATTTGGAATCCACCACCTACCTCTCCCTTCCTCTCTCTACCATTTCTGTATGTCTTCGCAACACAGAAATGAAAAGAAACGAAAGAATAGTTTACGACTCTTTGAACTTTAAAAGGACGCCAGGTTAGACATATATTGCTTTTTGAAAAGAATTAGTTGTCTGTGGATTGAATGAACTGGTGAACTATGCCAGGGATAAGATAACTATCGCGACTTAAAAATTGAAAATAAACTGATTTGAAAAATTCTAAACAGGCACTGCTGCGCTATTAGTATTCAAGCAACAAGACTTGAGTAGAGATGTCGGAACGGATCTGGATTGACAGACAAGGAATAAAGTGGATACCAATTTCCTTAAAGGGCTTAATCGAAGGTATATGTATATTTGTATATGTATATATATTTACACTACGGCATATCAAACAATATGAAAGCCCAGAAGAAGAACAAGAAGCTTATTTTACATGTCTGAATGAGACAATATGGACATTAACGATCAATTACATTTTCTGAGGAAGAGCAATGTACGATATATAGATACATAGCATCATATGGAACGGAAAATCTATTGTTTACATGTGTATAGAAATACGCAATTCTTCTCTGTAATAAGGTATAAGATATAAAAATTATTTCTGCAATATGGCTACGACTAAAGAAAATGCCCTTAAAATCGTAGAGTCAGGGAAAACGTCTTCATAAGCCCAAGGGGAGTGCATGTAACAATATTTTTGTTTGAAACTTAACCAGCCATAGAGACATGTAATAATAACGTTTGCAACGCAAAGAATTGTATTTAGTACTTCATCAACGTATCGATAAATGGCATAAACAAAAATAAACTATTTGCGTATCCCTGCGTGTACAAGTGAAACTTGCGCATGGCTGTACGCCCGTAGGCGCATTTCTCAAATGAAACGAAAGGCAAGCGAGAAACGGTAGAATTCGAAAGTAAATTATAAGTGCATACGCGTGTGTACTGCTGCAATGCTTGCGTGCGTTCACGCTACCCATACACTTCTCCAATAAAACGAACTGCTCGAGTCCTCGTAGCAAGCAATAATGAAAGCAGAAAAAGGGCTTGTTTAACACATGTCCCTGATTTCTTTAAATTTAAATTTTTTTTTCTGACAAGCACAAATGACGATTGATTTTCGTCTGTCATTAACTATCTTAGGTGCTACGTATCTTAGCTCGAATTTTTTCCCAAACTACATACAAACAATTTTAATAAATTTGATAAAATGTCTGTTCAATTATTGGGAAATATAAGATTTCTTGACGTTCGTGACGTATAAACGACTCGCCCTTCTCCTTTTCTTAGAAACAGTCAATTTTGCGAAGAATCGAAATGTAAGTCAGTCGTCTTTGAATTCGAGAAAAGGACTGAATTACTTAAAGGGCGGCCGCGTAGTCGACTGGATACGAGTCGTGAATTCTAAATCGGTGTTTGTGGCTTCACACCAGTCAGTAAAGGCATCACATTTACCATTCACAAGGTTGCAGTCTTACCACTTTCCTTTTCTACTCTTCTTTCTGCCCAGCTTTTCATCGATCTAGAATTATAGGTGAAAATTTGAATAAACTCCCAGTGTTTTTCGACATTGTTTTGATTTCTTCTACATTGTGGGCGTACATACGAACGTATCATGGCCATGATTGTAGCTTCGGCCAAACCGTAATGAGGTTTGAACCCGCGAACACTGGCTTGATAGTAGGATGCTTATCTCCTCTCTACATAAAATATATTCTTAACAAAATATGCGAAAATCCCTACAAACAAAGAAAAAAAATGCGATCTGCATATTTACAAAAGATTTCAGAAAGAAGTACTGAAGAACCTTTGAATACTTCTTCAAAATAAAAAACAAAGACGCAAGTAGTAAATATTTACAATTCGGTGAATAAGATGGAGAGAACTGTTTCGCTGTAGTTCAACGCAACGAACGTTGATAGGGTTATTTTTCTCGGTATATATATATATATATATATATATATATATATATTTGTGTATCTGTCTATAACAAATAAAACAGCATGAAGTGGAATGGTCAACAATTTTCAATATAAACAAAAGATTTTCAATATATTAAACAGATTTTTACGTCAGCAAGATAGACAGAAAATTAACGAATAAACAGACAGATAATTAAGGAAACTATAAACAAAATATAAAAACGAGAATGAAATAAATTTGTGTATAATATTACTAATAATAAAAACATGAAAAAAGGAAAAAAAAGAAAAAAAAAAAAACAGAGAAATAATTGATTTAAAAATAACAAAGAAAACACGAAATCTCGAAGAGAATTAAAAGAAAAAAGTAAGAGAACTTGAAATGCGCGAACATATGTTTTTGAAAAGAACTTGAATATCTTGTGAAATGAAAATAGAAATATCTTTTCTCAGTTAACATTATTGCACGTATCAATAAAAGCGATGAAGTGAAAATTTTAACTTTAATATATTCCTAATAATGTACTTTTATTACAAAAGTTTTTTTTTTTTTTTTAAAAAAAACAAACCACATGGTTTTTCTTTTTTGTTTGTTTTTTTTTTTTTTTTTGTTTTTTGCTGCATTTGGATATAAGAAACGTTGCGTTTTCTTGCTTGCTTTTGACAAATCGCACTTTGAGAAAAATGTATAATTTTAGCATGAGCAGAGCTAAACGTGAGCGAATCCATATCCTCGCCATAAACGCATCTATTCAGCAAACTAAAACAAATACAATAAAAAATAAAAATTTGCATTGCTACGTTGTTTGCAAACATACACTTTTTGACGCCCTACACTCCTCGGAGATCAAATGACATTTACAAGGCTTTTGATGAAAAGTCCAAGTCAGGTATATGAAGGTTATGTTGTTAACTTTGGTTCAGATTTAAACCAAAATGTTTCTTAGCATTTTCTACACGGCCTACATAAAATTTGATTGCATTTTCTATTCCACGAAACTCTGTTTCGGAACTTAGCTATTTTGCAAATGGTTTCTCCACCCAAAGTATCGATTATTTTACTGGGAGATAGCTAGGAAGTGAGACCGATTCCGTTTTTGCTAATCTGTTATCTAAGGTTCGATTTTCGAAAATGCGTCGATCGTACATGCTTGTGAGAGCTCTTTAAGTCCAGTTGGAACATTAGACTTATGACTTAACGCATTCTCAGTGCAAACTATTCATGATCTTAAGCCGAAGTAAACCTCAGCTCCTTGTGAAAAATGTACGTAATTGTCCTATATATTATACGCTATAAAAGCGATTGGGAGAGTGCTAGGTCGCCAAGAAGACCGTTTCGAACTATCTCATATATTAAAGGGTGTAAAAGAGAATCGAAGAATATTAGGTCGCCAAAAAAGACGCTTCGAAATTTCTTCTCTTGCTTGCGTGAAACGTTCCAATGCTCAAAGAAAGACACAAATAGTGTAAACTTGATTAGCCGTATATCGAGCGTAGTACACCTAGTCTGCTGTCTGGTAATGCACTAAGGCACGTAGGGTGTAAGAAGTACCGCGATGATTAGCAGTCGCTTATTAAGGAAAAAAGATTGATGCTCTTGGTAATGGCGACGATCTGCAATCGAACCAATTTAGTTGAAACGAACCAGCAGTGGCATCAAAACAAAGGCAATAGGCAAACGCGACAACTAATAGAAAAATATAAAAAAAAAAAAATAAAAAAAAATTGAAAAAAAAAACAAAAAAGAATTAAATAAACATAATTACTTTCGCACACAATCAAACGTACATATACACTAATATATACGCATTACCTACCTATGCAATAATCGCATTGGCAACGAAAACGAGACAAATCGAATCGATTAAAATCAAATCAATACCTCAACATTGACTCTCGATGGGAGGCAATAATCGAAATAATTGTCAAATTGTTGTCTCCCGTTAAATTGGCCGAGCAACGAGCGACGCGAATACTCAATTAATGCAGTTTATTAACGAAATTTCTATGATACAGACGACTTTTATTTAGACTTAAGTCTACATACTAAGGCATTCTAGTGGAATAATATTAAGGAGACGTAAAGAAGATAAATTTTTTTTGTTCTTTTTTGTCTTTTTTTTTTTTTTTTTTTTTTTTCTCAACTCTTAGAAATTAAATGCGTGAGTGAAAAAGAAATTAGTTTTTTTAACGGTGTTAAAGAAAGTTGTTAAAAAGTTTTATTCTATTTTATGGCGCGTGGACGTAATCATAATCGTAACCGAAATCATTCGTTACAAAATTCATCGAATTCAACTCAGCAGCAAACTAATCAACAGCAGCTGCAACAGCAAACGAAAACTAAACAGCCACCGCCTGCACCTGTTGCCTCAATTATTCGAAATAATCATTGTTCACCCTCAACAAACTCAGAAGAAGAAGAGAAAAGAAATGATGCCATTTGCAACGATCCAAGTAGTAATAATAATTATGCTGTAAAAAATACTGCCTATGAAATAAAAGCTATCGCACACCTTGAAAGTAGTAGCAACACCGGCCCCGCGAGTTGTTCAACCACAAATACTTATCAAATGACGACGTCTAATAATAGCCTAAAGAATTTCAACCAAGTCAAAGTGAATAATAATAATGAAAATGACGGTGACGATAGCGATCATAATGATAATAATGATTGTGATAATAATGATGACGATGATGTCGAGAGTGAAGTGCTTAAACATCAAAGTAATTCAGCCGGAGAGAATTGCCATTACTCTAGCACTTCGCCAAAAAGAGATGCAAATTGTGATCATATCGATGAGAGAGTTAACGAACTAAGAGGTGGTAATATCGCTAAAAATAAAGAGACGGCTAATATTATTCGTTCTTCATGCACCGAGCAAAACGGCAGTGTGTACGCGCAAGTAATACAAAAAGAAAATAAAGGGACTAGCGATTGCCCTCAGTTCATAAATAACTACAATTATGCAAATGACGCTTTCGTAGGATCTGCCGGATTAAACCAATATGATCCAAATAGTGTTATTATAACAGATGTAAGAAATTTCAATAATAATAATAATAATAATAATAATAATAACAACGAAAATCACGTGCATATGGTGGCAATGGGTCAGAAAACTACTAAGTGTGAATCGAATAACACTTCAAACTATCCGTCATTACCGTCAAGTAATCGTGAATCTTTCAATTCAATATCTGAAGGTTCAAGTACCGGAAGTAAACGTGAACGTGAAACATCGTCATCGTCAGCATTGTCGCTAAACGACACTCAAGTGCCTTTAATAACAGTGAGTGATTGCAGTAATGATGACGCCTTCAGTAGTAGTAGCCATGAAGAAGTTCAATGCGTTGAAAGAAATTTAAATGAGAAAGAGGAATTTTTTGATTTTGAAACGGAAAATCGTCAAGAAATTTTTGTGGATACACAAAATGAGGAAATATTAAATTATGAACAGCAAAAAACAAATACACATCATTATTCTCCTCCCACCGCCTTCCCGTATAATCAAATGCGTTGCAATCAAAACAAATTAGAAGATGTACCAGAACAAGAAGAAAACGAAGAAGACGACCAAGAAGACGAAGACGATGAAAATGATGAAGAAAAAGATGATGTTGATAGCAGTAAAGAAGAAGAAGAAGACGAAGAGTTTGTTGATGCCGATCGGTCAGACTGTTTAAAAACCGTACTAGCAAAACATTCAAGTTCATGTACTCCCGACGAACCTTTGCCGCTGCTCAAAAGCAATACAAATGAAAGTGACCTAAACTCAAGTAACAGTTTTCTTGATTCTGGTATGGGTGACTCTCTGGCCACGTCTGCAAACTATCATTGCAGCACAAATGCAGGCTCGCATCAGCAAAAACACGACTACTTCCAGCAGCAACGGTTACCTTTTGTGCGTGACAATAATTCCACCGATTGCGACGAGACTTTAACTCAATGCGATGATTTACAAGACTTTATCGACGCGCCGCATGCTTATCATGAATCTGCTGAACGCTTGGTTTGCATTGAAAGCATAAGTTTGCCAGATGTGGTTGTCGAGTCGACCAACTCTAGCGGCAGTAGTAGCAGTAGTTCTTCCTCTGCAACACAATCGAATGTTAATTCTTCTTCTACATCTTCGACTGATACAGAATGTGATATTATTAATATAAACGGAGCTGAAAGCAACAATTGTGGAAATGTACACTTTATACCCATACACCTTGAGGGTCAGCGCAATAAGCTGAAAACAAACGATAGCATTAATGGTAGCACACAAAGTGATTCAATCGAAATCACTGAGATACCATTGAGGAGAAGTAAGCATATATCAGAAAATGATTTACAAGCGGAAAAGTTAAAGTAAGAAAAAAACTGCAAAAAAAGAATTTATTTATTAAGTGATTCTTCGGAAGTGGTTTCTCTCAGCATACATAGTCCATGCAATGCGATAATCTCCCATTCCTAAGAAAATAGCACAAACGAAACCTAAAAAGGGGCAGAGCGACATCGGTGCATGTTTTTGACTTACATTTTTAAGATTTGGCCTATTTTCTAGAGGTTTTTCTATTTTTTTTATACACACCACTGTAAGATGGCGGTATACTCGTCTTGTTTTTATACTTTTTTTATTATAAACAGTTGCTTGAGATATTTTTGCAGAAAATTTAGATAACCAATGTATAACAGAAAGTCGTGCTTTCAGCCATCTAGACAAAGTCGTTTGGCGCTATTTTTGTGTACCGGAATATTATGTAATAGTAACATTGTCCAAAGGTCAGAGAGTCGGAGGTCGTAACGAACAATCGAATGTGTCATGCCATTATAGGGCTAGCTAGTTCCGTAGTAATCGTTTTTTTTTCTTTCTATATAACAAATAACCCATAGACGGCTATACTCAAGAGAATCACATGCAGAAATCCTTATGGAGGTAGACGGACTCTCGAAACTTTCTTTTCGGACGGACTAATATTATTCCCTGGGCTATTGTATACCGTGCCACACCTGAGGTCTCCTATACTGCGTACCGCTTTCTTTGCCTTAATGCAGGCTGAGCGCTTGGTCACGAGGACATACATAACACAAGCAGACGGACTAGCAGAAATAGGGAGGGGACTAGGGTAGGGGACATTTTAAATCATTTTGAAGGGTCCACGCATCCAATATCAACTTGCAACAACAAATAATGCAGGAAATAATAGAAAAGAAACCTATTTTCAAAAATTTTCTTTTTCCACTTGTGTACTTTAAATAAATTAACTTATCTGCCACAAAATAGTAGTATAGTTAAAACATGAGTCTTTCGTATACATACATATACATTGTATGCATTACATAATTATGTAATGTAGATGTAATTCAGTAAAATAATGAATTACGGTTACTATGTGCAGCCTGATGGCTGAAAAGAGGATGTTCTAAAGTGCAAGATCCTTATCGTAGTCCAGTTGGGCTCTTTTGCCAATCCATAGACTTATTTCTGACGTGACTCACAACTTAATTGAAAGGATACGAAATGAAATATGTGTATCGTGCCTGGTCATCTCTTGCCTTCCACAAGGCAGGACATTCAATTAATCGATGAAGATATTTCTGACGTGACTCCCAATTCGATCGAAAGAATAGGACATGTATCGTGTCTTTAGGATACCACACAAGACGAGTTTTCTTGCCCACTGTTACATGTACATGTTTTTATCCAGGTCTGGGCTGTAACTTAAATTGTCATATTTCGAGGAAGATTCATTAAGATTCTTTTAGGGGAAATATATTTTCCGCATACCATACTGTCTGTTTGTTTTTCAAATTCGATTGCTCCCAAAGTTTGCAGATGCTGCAAAGCATTAAACCCAAAATGTAACCCTCGGCCCCATTGTACATCTCCAGGTCTTCCAAGCATATTGAAAAGTAGTAGTAACTTACTTTGATGTAAAGAAAGATTCAACGCAATTAGCATACATAGCGAAGATTACATAGAAATCTAAAGTGTCTTTGTTTCTTCAATTCTACATTGTAAGAGAAAGTTTCTTTGGATTTCTTAAGTGAAATCCATTTTTTTTTTTTTGATAGAGAACACTTTGTATGAAATTTCTACGAGATTGATTTTTTTCATTTCAAATATTGAATAATCGTTGCCGTTTATTTTCAATGTTTGTTGTTGCTTGTATTTGCTGATATAACCGGCAAATTTAGAGCAAAATAATTTCTGAAAATATTTATATACATTGTTTATATGTATGTTCATGTATAGGTCGGTCGTTACGAAAATCAGCTCGAGTTTTTTATGATTCTTTTAAAAATATTTTCCTAAATAAAAAAATTCCTATAGTGAGGCGTGGGAATATCGCTGTTGAATGTTTTCACTTTATTGTATATGCAGAAGTATGAATGTATGAATGTATGTATGTATGTATGTATGATCGCTGAAGCTTTTTATTCCTTCATGAGCGAATACACGTACTTGTCGATCTTGCGCTTTTTTTTTTTTTTGAAAAAATGTGAATGTATGTGTGAATTTGGAAAACAATCGCTATCTTACATCGAACTTTGAAATACTGCACATCTGTACTTAAAGACTAAAGACTTGTTGGAAGTACCCATGTAGAGGTTCGCGAGCTTAACTACTAAGCATTTTGGCTACAAATCATTCATTTCCTAGGTCAACAAAAACTCAAAAAAAATTTCAAACAAAAATTTCCAATGATTGACGTTTTAATTTCATTTAGTGATTTTTAAAAATTTTGCTTAAAAAATTGAATTTTTTCTTTTTTAACTTAAGCATTGGAACCAATTGGCTGTGCTATGCATTATGAAAGTTTGACGAAAATTCTTTCGTCTTTGTATGTAATATTTTTCATTATCTTTTCTTCTCTCTCCCATAAACGGATACAGAACTTATTAAAATGACTCATGTAACTAAATCAATGCATGCATTAGAAAAAGCAGGCGCTTGTAGATTAACTAGAAATAATACACTTGAACTCTTTTTAAGAGCATTTTTTTATATGAAGAAAACGCTTATTTTTTAATGCAAATCAATAAAGAAAATTTGAAAATTTTAAATTTATTTCAGACGGCAAGTTCTTGAAAGGTCGATGGTTGGTAATGGTAAATAGAGGAGGACGTGAAAATTGCTTAGAATAGAATGAAAAATATGAAAAATGAAAGCGTTCGGATGTGCGGATTCACACTTTAACTCTCAGATTTATCGGAAAATATGAAGTAGATTTGTGTACTGCAGATGACCGTAAGCCTGCAAAGTTTAGCAGGTTAGATATGTCAAAAAGAATACCAATAAAAAAGCTTGATACGTTTTAAAAAATATGTTGCATATCTACCGCCTATTTGGCTTTCAAATTGAATCTTTCATAGAGATAATATCCATTAGGTGCTTGCGTCTACTTTGATCTGGTAAATTGGCGCTATCGCGTCGAAAGAATGATATTGGTTTGACAGTGATCCAGTTGCGTACTTCTTCTGCTTTTCAAGACCGCGTGCCAGCCAAGGCATACTATGTGTGGTGAGTGCGCTGGCTGGCGCAGAACTTCCCATTCGAGCTGCAACTTTGTACCCTTGGCAACTCTTGAAACGTGCAGCCGAACGTTGTCATGCAAGTGGATGACTTTTCGCCTTTTAATCGCTATTGCTGGCCCTTTTGGTAGCTATGCTTCGTTCAATTTCTTTAGTTGGCGAAGCTAGACACATGGAGTAGCAGATATTTGACCCAGACACAAACGCTAAAATTGGTTCGGATTGGAGCGCTTCTTCGATAACCTCCCATACAACGGCTTATTTTATTTGTTTCGTTACATTAAGCGAAGTGGTGCAGGGGGTTCAATGATATTATTATATAGGCGTTTTGTGAAGGGACTGCATATTTCTACAGCTAATTTTCCTTAATAGGTATTTAACGGTAAACCGGACCAATGATAATCATTTCATAAAGTATGTGTAGGTGTGTGAATTTCTCTTACAACGTACTGGATATTTGTAACAATTGCAAATTGATTGTAGAGTGCCGGCCAACAAATGTAATGATTTTAGTGCATTGTGTGTGAAATGAGAACGTTTGGCGTTCTACTCCATAATGTGTGTTTATTTGCGCATTTCATGCGTATGTCTTCTGCTTTCTATCATAATATTTTGAAATATGCAAATGTTGAAATTATTGTTGAATAATTATTAGGTTTGCGTGCACTATCTTGTAACCGATTTTTTCTCAATATTCAATATCTCTTTTAATTTAGCCAAAAATTGTACGCAATTTCAAATACTGCGTAATTTGTTTGAAAGAGAGCGAAGTAAAATAAAATTCTCTTTAGACTAGATCGCGTTAAGTAATTGTTTGCTTCCAATTAATAAATAATACATTGTTTACAAGTAGAAGTAAAAAGTAATTTTTAAATTTTAATATCTTAGATTTACTCATCATCTTTTCGGCAATTCAAAGCAGAAAAAAAGTAGATATCGAAGGAGTTTGCAGTTCTTCGAAGCCCGTGTCTTTAAGTGATTAAAATGGAAAGGGGGCTTAAATAATCCTACTTCGCTTTCTATTTTTTCTGCGCCAATCCTTTGTCAATCCATGCACTGCTTGCATAATTATTTTTAATATCACAAAATAAAAGCTTCCATTCCAAATAGCAGATCAACACACTAGCTCGCTCTATGACAACAGATATGCTCATCATTTCAAAAACCATTTTTGACGACGAACATCATGATATGCATAGATTGATCGGAAATAGTTTGTAGTATGTCTGCCGGATATAGCAAAGTTGGAAATTCCATTGATTCAAGTATCATTTCGTTATTACACCATGATCAAGAGGATTACTACATTTTTAATGCAATGAAGGAGTAATGCCCTGCATTATACCCAATTCGGCTTTTGGTATGATCGCATTGCATTGCGAAACTTTTAATCTCCGTCACGGAGTCCATTAGAGTCAGAGTAGAAATATCAGAGTTAGTAGCAGCTGTGCTCTTATCGCTCCCTATCTACTCTAACTCTTCCCTAACTGAGAGAGTACGTCCCGTACACCGCAAGGTTCCAATTTGGCTCCCCTATTGTGTAATCTCTTCGCATATGATCTTGGGGATGTGGTTGGTAACAACCACTTTTTTTGCATATGCAGATGACACCTTTCTGCTTTATAGAGATAAAGCAAAAAATTTACATTTGTTCAAAACAATATTAACGAACCTTCAACGTATTTAATACAATATACAAATGTTGGTAGGGGGTAACAGGCTTATAACTTTATAGATACTTCATAAGTGGATAAATGAAAATGAAATGTAAACCATATATTCGGACAATTTTTTATTACCCTCTAATAAGAGGAATCGCAATCCCAAACAGTTTTTACGGCAGATTTTTACTCCAATATATTATTAAACAGTTTGTGCAGAAGACCTTTTTTTTCATAAGAGTTTTTCATCTGCCTGCGTGGTCAAGAAAGCAAAGAATCTCGACTAACAACTCAATGTTTTTAAAAGTTTTCAAACCCGCTGAAAGTCTTCGATGCGACTGCTTTAGTCTTAGAATTTATTTCTCTGTCTAAATTAATCATAGTGTAATAATAATAATATAAATGCAGTTTGGAATGATTTTTCCATCTAGCCACTTAGGTGACAGTTATCCTTCCTAACACTTTACATAATTTAATCGTCGAAGGCAATTAATCGTCTCAACACCTAACAGGTCTTTTCAAATTAGATTATGAAATTATGAATTCATATTTTCATGACATTTTTCTCAAACGATCAGTTCTTCAGAACAAAACGAAATCACATGAACACATGATGAGCTCTTTTCATGGAACTTTGACTATAAAACGCGCTCTGCTCTTTTTTTGGTTTTAGAAGCATTGTGTTTCCAATCAAATTGTACGAATATGTATATATATACATACATATATGGGGAAAAGTTTTTATTTGCCATTAAAAGAATCACATAATAAATAAAAATTAAATGCACCCCATACGAAAATAAACAAGTTTTAATGTGTTTTTAATTGCAGACAAGAATTGCAGGAGCAAAAATCACAGTTTCATATACAATTGGAAGATGCCCATAAGAATGTGCAAAGCCTTGAAGGCAAAATTAATGAAATGCAATTAAAAATAGAAAATTTAGAGCAGGATTTATCGGCAAAAACTTGGAATGTTGACAGTAAATAAAATTAGTGTATACTTAAGGAATAGAATAGAAACACGAGATACATACATACTCAATATATTTTCTATGTTTATTCACTCATTTAACAGGACTGCAGGGTGAATTAAATGCAGCGCAAAGGGACGATGAATACGTTAGGAAAAAGTTGAAATTACTGGAAGATGAGAAAAACAATTTACGGCACCGTTACGATGAATGGGAAGATGAGTTCAAAAAGAAATATGGTGTGTGTGTATATGTGTGTGTGTGTGTGCGTGGTTTTTTTTTTAAGTTTATGAATAAACAGCAATGAAAGAGCTTTTTAACTAATTTTGGTCCTTCTCAGATGAACTCGAAACGCAATATCATGAACTGCAAGATCAGTACAAAGAAACTCAAAGTTTAGCAAGTAGTTTACATAGTCAATTAATGGTGGCGCAAAATGAAGTGGAAAAATGGCGTAAAGAAATTGAAACGATACGCGTCGACTTAGAGGAGCAAATAAGGATATTAAAGAACGCTTTGGAAAATTCGGAAAATGAGCGTAAAATATGCGAAGACCGGTGGCAAAAACAATTTGAGATGCTCCGTACTCATAATATGGGTAAGAAGGAATCTTCTCCATTTTGATTTAAGAAAACTCATATATATATATATATATATATACACAAATATATATATATTTTCTTATTTGCTTAATTGCAAGATCGTGAGGAATCTATTATGACGGATTGCGAGTGGCAGTTACGGCAAATGCAGAAACAGTGCAAAGATAAAACCGATAATGCCGAACGTGAACGTAAAGTAGCCGTTGAAAAAGTTGAACGATTGGAGAATGAATTGGAGGAACGTTGTAAAGAAGTTGATGATTTACGTCACTTTCAGGCTCAAGTAAATTCTTTACGCGGTGTAGTCACCGAACAAGAGCACTCCATTCGTAGTCTAGTTGAGCAAATTGAAAATCTTAAAAGTGATTTAACGGCGGCTAACGATAATTTACAAGAACAAATCGAAAATGTTGAAAAAATCAAAATCAAATGTGATCGAACTTTATATGACAAAGAGCGTCAGATGTTATATCGTATTGACGAAGTGCGTAACGAAGCGGCTGCTTTTTGGGAAGACAAACTGTACACCGAAATGACAAGACTGAAGAACGAACTTGAATCGGTTTATATCGACGAAAGGCGAGACGCCCTTGACAAACTTCAAACCGAACATATAGAAGAATTACGTGCAATCACCAATCGTTACACAGCTAACGAAGATGAATTGCGCGCTGAATTAACTGAAGTTCAGGAAAGACTTGAACTAAAAACTGATGATTTTTTAGAGTTGCGAGAGAAATCCGATAATGCTTTATTACAAATTCGGATGCATCTTGAACGAGCCGATCGTGACTATCAAGTGGCCATGTGCCGCGAAGAAGAAAAACGCGAGGCTTTAGAAAATGATTTACGTAAACAATTTGAAAGTGAAAAACAAGAAATGGAAGAACGTTTCGAAAAACGCTTAGACGAAATGAAAGATGAATTTGCGAAGAAAATGAATATTGCTTCGCACGAAATAACGTCCAAGCATCAAAAGGAAATTGGAAAAATGAAAGAGCAATTGTTAAGCGAGAAAGAAGAGGCCCTGCAAGAGTTAACCGAAAAACATCGCAAAAAATTGAAAGATTGCGAAGACAATGTGAAGGAACTAGAATTGCAACATAAACGTGATCTAAAAGACTTAAGATCAGCTTATGATGCTGAGAAGGCTGTGTTAGACAAACGAGACATTAATAATGCCAACGAAATCGAACAACTGCACCGTAAATGTCGTTGCCTAACAAATCTATTTGAAGAGATGCGCATGCGTTACGAGCGACGTGATCCGCGACCTGAGGATCTTCGAGAAATCTCTGAGTTGCGTAGCCGCTGTGAAGCCCAAGAACGCGATCTCTATTTACTCACTGATCGCCTGCGGGAAATGCAAATACAAATGAACGAACTGCAACGAAACGGTAACGATTGTAACGTCCTAAATAGTAAAAATAATAAGAAATCAAAACAGATAAAAAAACCTCCGCCAAAAACTATACCGACCAGCTGCGATATCATTTATGAGGAAAACGAAGAACGTGACTCGCCACCGCCATCCGCAACACTTACACAAAATGCATACTTAGTAAATAATAGCAATAATAATGGAAATCAGAAAGATCATAGCTCAAAAAACGAGAAAATTGCTGACGTAATTCCCGCAGGCCATAATAACTATAAAGTCAATGGGAAATTAATTAATAATGTGAACGAGGATGATAGCCATATGATCACAGCTATGTAATGTGTGGTCTGTGCGACAGGAGATGGAGAGAGAGAGAGAGAGAGAGAGAGAGAGAGGGTTCGGTGATGGACGGTGGATGGGACGATTAAAGGGGATGGAGAAAGCACGATAGGTTAATATTCTCAACTCATTTTCAGCTGCTTTCACGATTACATTTCCTGCTCTTATAAATTTTAATTATTTTTTTTTTTTTTTAATATATTTTCATATATTTTTTTGTTTTATTTTTTATTATTATTTATTATTATTATGGTACGTAGGTGCGAAATTGGTGCCATGATGCCAATCGCGTAATTTCGATACGAAATCAACATTTGGCATATTATCGAATTCACAACTAATTTACATTTACAAATAATATGTTTTTCTCTGTTCCTTTATGAATTCGTTGACTAGTTGTAATTGTATGTAAATTGAATTTCAATTTCTGAATATTAAAATTATCCATTTTATGTGCATTGAAATTAAGGGGAAAAACAAAGAATTAAAAAATAAAAAAAAAAACATTTTTAAATCAATAGCTAATGTTTAGTATTCTGTTCGTTTGTTGCAATAATTTGATCAAGGCGGAAGCTTGAAAATATCTTGATCTTGATTTTCTTGATATTAATTGGATGTCGGGATGGCGGGAGGTTAGGATGAACATACGAGCAGCGTGGTCAATACCCCTGTCGATTTTTTTTTGATTAAATTTTCTGTGTAAACTTTTTTCTAACTTACGAAGGTCAAGCTTTCTGAATTGTGTTGCGGTGTTACGTAAGTGTTGCTCCTATTATGAAACTATTATATCCATCATCGAAGGAGGAGGGCTATATTCACTTTGTCAAAATGTTTGCAACGTCCAGAAGGCACCTTCGGCTATATATATCCTTAAACACCATCAAATTCTGAATCGATTTAAGAATGTCCGTCTATGGGTTGTGTAGTGTCTACTGACTGCAAAAGTGCAGAAAACGAAATATTGGCAGAAATATTAGAAGCTCTTACACGCAGACTGATATCGAAAATAGACCAATCCGTCGAAGCATGAACCCACAGCACTACGTAAGCTGAAAACTCTTCGGTTTTTCAAAAGCAATAAAAAATTAGATTTTGGCTCACTACTCATACAAAACAGATAAACCTACAATAATTTGAAGGTATATCCTATGGGCGATGCTATAGTACCAGTCCAAAAATTGACCACGCCTACCTAATATTATAGTATATCAAAATTTCATTTTTTTTTCATTACCTTTATAACGGGCAGAAACAAACTTGAAAAGCCCCTAAAAGTATATTCACGTATTCTTGGCCAGTTTCAAATTCGAAATGCGAACGAGCGTGTATGCCTGTTCGTCTGTCCATCTGTCCACCTGCCCAACTGTGTAGTGTGTGTGGAAAACATTCTCTAGTTCGCAAAAATGAAGACGAATTTTAAAAAAGGATTTGAATTGATTGATATTCCTCCACATACATTGAACCCTTTCTTTCGCCTTGTGAATGCTTTACTGTCACCACTTAATGCGACTTAAAGTAATTACATAATAGGAGGTATGTTGATGTATGTTAGTAAGAACTTACGATTGAATAATGAATTCGTTACAAATTTAATTTGGAAGGGTTCTTGTAGTGAACATTCAGAATATGAGTTCATAATCAACGAACGGTTTATGGATTTCCTTTTTGAGCTAGCAAAGCTTGACGAAACACAAAAGCGATACGCTCGTTTTTTGGACTGATGATAGAAACATAAAATTCTAGATTCGATGCTTTGCGAAGTTTGTCGTACTAGGAGTATGTGTGATACTGATTCATCCAGATTCTGCGAAGGAAAGAATGAAACATAATATCATACCTGCGATAATTTGCAGTGTTAGACAACAATTGTTTGGCGAACGCTTCAGACGCAGTATGGTATTTCGAATCAAAGAAGGTGACGGAATTAGTAAGATTCCCAAAGCTTTAGGCTTAGGGCTATGACCGGGTACAACAGATCTTTCAAGTCGCGGCACAAAATCAATGCCATACCATCGACTATAGTTAGTTAATAAAAGTTTCTCGCAAAGGGGGAACCATAAGTCAAGGATATGTGCTTTATATCAAAAAAACTTTTTCGAAAGCCTCGCCTCTATTTAACTTTATTGCAGGGCGAACTGCATTTTCGTTTTTTTTTCTGGTCATTTATAAAGGAGAAAAAAACGTAAATTGAATTCATTCGCCAATTTTAATATCAAAAAAAATTTTGGGTTTTTTGTTGTTTCCTCTGTTATGTTCTCTCTTTATTTACTCAAGAATGATTTCTTGTTATATTTCCTATTCTTTTAGTAAATCGAGGGAAACTTTGAAAGAAATTCTTTTTCTCTACCAACTGTGTATACTGTGCACGGTATAAGCAGTGTATACGTGAGTTCACAGACATTAAATGTTAATAAAATTATTTGAATTTTAAATTCAACTTGCATTTGCCTGAGGATAAATTGCAGTTGTTTTGTAGAAAAATAATTATGATGTATTTTGGAAGATGTTTGCGAAAACTTTTCAACATAATTTACTGCACAAAAAACAATAATCATAATTATTATTATTTTTATTGCGTTAGTAAAAATATGAAATTTTGTTGAAAGTAAGAGAGCAAGTTGAATGCGCCGAAGGCAGGACTGTTGTGTTTGCATAATAACATGAATTTTGACATTTTTTCCTTTTTTTCATAAAAATATAATAAACAACAAGGATTTGCTTTAGGTACACGCGTATATGTGTGTGAATGAGCATGTGTGAGTATATGTGCGTGTGTGTATGTGTGCACACGTACATACCATATATAAAAGGCTTAGTGCAGAACTATACAAATTTTGTGTTAATTTAAATTGACAAAAGCAAATAATTCCAACACACACATTCATTCATTCACGATGAGATTTCATGTCGCATTCAATGGTGCGGAATAGCATTTATTTAATTTTTGTTATATTTTTTTTCTTTTCCTCTTTGTGTGCTCTCTTTTTTTTTTTTTGAATTCAAATATATAAATTTAGTTACGCCTTGTTTTGGAATAAAAAAAAAGTAAATGCACAAAATCGGTTAAAAGAAAAGGAAAAAAACGACGGAATAAATGCATTTTATATGTATACATATATGTATATTATGTACATATATTCATAACATACGAGAAATGGTGACACAAATCCATAACCATTTATTTGTCGTGTGCTGAATTTCTGATGATTCAAATAACTAAAATGTGCACAGCTGTATGCAATTGTATGCATGAATGTACGCCTAACCAGCTAATGTTGCAGGCAATACAATATGCAAATCTTTGCAAAAATTTATCATAGAAGCCTTAAAATCAATTTGTTGCAAAAATATAATCAAAAAAAAAAAAAAAAAAAAAAAAAAAAGAAAAAAAAAAAAAAAAAAAAAATAAAACAAATTTTAAAAAAAGGTCTTATTCCCAAAAAAAAAAAAAAAACTCCCGTAAATATTTATTTAATTATTGTTAGTTTACAGTACAGCATTGGACGGAAAAATAACAGTTCTTTCAGCGTGAAAGTCTCTTCTACAGTTGGGGTTTAATTTAGGCTCTGCCCAGCTCTCCCCTCCCCCTTGAAAAATATTCTGATTTGAATGTACGTTTTCTTGTTGTTTTCCTTTCGTTTTATTGAGAGATAGATAGATAGGCTTAAATTCGCCAGCATGCAAAGTATACGACAAAAAGTTGCGGGAAAAAAACCAGCTTAAGTCAGTCAGTCAGTACCGATCCGATTGTCGTTTGCGTGCTTCTCGCATCCCAAGATTATCGTGCCGTTTATTGTGAGCACATTATTATTGCACATTCTTGTATTGTTTGTTTAATTGTTATACGTTGTTTCAAGTAATTTGTACGACATTGCAACATCCTAAAAGACTTGAGACGTGCCTCATTTTAATTATATCGATCGATTCTGAAAAATTTTTTAAATTGATTTAAGTCTGCCTTCCCATCCGTCCATGTGAGAGAATTTTTTCCCCAATTCTTTTATACAATATGACTAGTACTCCATTCGTGTAGAAGGGTGACCTTTGGAAAAAATTGAGGAAAGTGGAAGAGCACAACCGAATAAGCACTTACTACGACTACAGTAAACTCTACCTCATTGAGATTTGAACTCATGCATAAAGACTTGGCAGTCACGATTCTTACCTGATCGGCTACTTCTACGGATAGTACAGCAACAGACACAACTCCTCAGTACTCGATAGAAATTTGTCGAAAAGATTGATATCATATTTCAAAATACTGGCATTAAGTTTGAACTTTTTCGGACTCATTCGTACGTAAGAACACTTATGAAAAGTAACCTTTTATACGACAATAATGTCAAAATTTTATTATTTCATATTTAAACAAATGAAAATACCATAGTGCACGGGCCACCGTTAAATAGCCTGCACAAGTCTACAATTATCCATATAAGTCTTTATAAGACCAGTTATCGAAAAAGTGGTCCGATCGGAACCATTTTCAACAGCGTTCTTCTTTGGTCCCGAACACGTCCGTTTGCCGAATTTCATCAAAATATTTTAAAAATTTCCGCCTGTATGTTGAACACAAAAAACAAGATAGACAGGCGGACATACAGGTTAACGGTGTAATAAAAGGTGTATCTATCTCAATTTTTTTTGGCTGTTACATACATACAGCCGCACAAACCTAATATGTCCACGAAGAAACAAAAATAAGCTTATTGAATTAGGGTTTGGATTTGTGTGCCCGTTTCCTTACTCTCCACCCGTCTCTCTAGATATAAAAATGTAGTCTCTTCATGGCAACAACAGATAAAACTTTTGTTTATTCCTGATTAAGAATTGCATTGTACGAAGTGGTGCAGGGTGTTTAATAATCGATATTGCCTATCTATAAGATTAAAAAACCTCTCTGCAAAACCCTGCAAACCCCTTACGTTCAATACCAATAACGTGTAGGTACACATATGGCAACCTGCAGTATTGTTGATGGTATTCGTTGCTTGCTTTTACTACTGTTATCCTTCGTATTAAAACGCATTAATTATTTTAAAAGGTAAAAGAAATTTTCAATTTATTCCGAATAAAATTCTTTATTTTTCGATATATTAATTGAGAATAACAATAAATAAGTTGATGTCGTGTAATTTCTCTCTTACTTTTTTCATGTTATAGATGCGTTGTAGATGTATGAAATGAGAACCTATCTATATGTATATATATATATGTATATGTTTGAATATATCTTTTATATGACAGCTGCGTGAATAACTAATGTGTCTCTTAAGACAGATTTATTCATAACAAAGGCATTGTAACATTTTCTTACAGTCCTTCAGTTCATCTCATTATCGTTCGACGTTCAATTTAATATTTGAAAAGATTTCACAAAATATATCTCGCTTATATCAATATAGGATGCCATGGTTATGGTTAGTTAACCGTAACAAACTTTTATCGCAGTTTGTAGAACATTCATGTGCTCCTCTTTGCGCTCTGCAATGAACATTTCTCTTAA